ATCATCTGGAAGGAAGATAGCGCAGAATGTGCGATATAACTGGGATATAACCGGCAAAGGATCGTACATGCAAGTGCTGCGTCTTGATGAGCAGATATCAATACAATATCATTGTATAACAACCAGACAGGCTTACTTCGTGAAAAAGGAAATTTCCACGACGAAACATCGATCGGGTCAGCTTCACAAGTGACTAGATTGCTGGTGCGAGACTTTGCTGTCATCAGATTATGAGAGCCGAGCGATGTGGGTGTCAGCAAGGATGAAGTCTGCAATCAGTACTTGATTCTCCAAAGCTAAAAAGAGACTTTATACTCCAACAATCACCTGTCTATGAACGGTGGCGTGACCCAACCGTGAACCAATACATCTTGAGAAATCAGGATTATCATCAAGTTTACTTACGCCAACAGTCTGATTGAAAAGTTTTTCTAATTCAGGAGTAACCGAAGTCTCACCAGATAACAATGCAAAACCATTAGGACTGAAATAACTAACATGTCTAGTCACCTATAAATTTCAATTATGAGACATACCAATCCTGAAATATATTTTCGCAAGCGGTGTCAGTAGGCTGGCTTCTCTGATCACCGGTGGAGATGCATGTTGTACGGTTCAAGAGTGAGCGATAGATCTAGGTAAAAAGAAACCTACACGTTTCGATATATACTTCAGAATTCTAAAATTACACTTACATTAGAAGATGATCCTGGCTCACTCTCACTTCGCTTAATGCTCTCGGAAAGTAATCGAATAGCTACATTATCGTACTTCTCATGATGGTCGTCACGAAGGTAAATCGTTGGTAAGGCCGATAATATGCGGACAGAGATATCAGGAAGAGAAAAGATGTTAGTTATGAGTTCTCTAAATAATATGGCTGAGAGCAAAACGATAATGAGGATAAAACAGACTTCCTGTGAGTCTGCTGCTCTTCCGGCTGCCGAGGCTCTGGAGTTTGCATTCGATGCAAATCTTGAGCCGTTCTTGAAATACCTTTGGGGCATCGCTGCTGAAATATGGATAGTGAAGAAAACGTACTTGTACTTTCAATTTTCTAAAGCATCAAGGTAAATATTACCTTCCGAGCCGGAACAGGTTCGTCTTCGAATGGAAAGCTGTAAACATCAGGATCTTGTCCAGGAGAACTTACAGCTGCACTGAAACGAAAGCCTTGCTCACTGCTTCAACATTAGTTGTCTTACATTAGCTTTATCACAGCTATCTACATCCAAAGCCACTATCGCATCTACGGCTAACTTAACAGCAAATGAGGGATGTAATGCTAAGCTAATAATGGCAGTGGCTATCTCCAGATCGGCATTCAAACTTGGTGATAACATCACGGATCTAACTTTCCAACGTGTTGTCATTTCTAAAAGTCTCTGCGCAAAAGTCTGCCTAAAAGCAACCTTTTCTATGCCTAGTTTAG